ATTCGCTTACTTTTTTCAGAAGTGAAATTTTTTGCTGGTGGGACATGTTTATCTGTACAAATGTGATGTTGATTCAAACTCAACATTTAAAAACACATTTACATGTATGGCTGTAGCTGAGACTGCAAAGACGCTTGATGCAATCGGTTGCTGCCAAGAGAGTCCGGGTTCAAGTACTATCAGACGGAGCTAGGGCTGGGACTATCCGCATACACGAATAAAATCCGGAGAGTATGGATATCCGGTTAAAATGCTACAATTTGGTAAAGCATTCACCACGACCAAAATTATCGTAACAGCTTTCATTATTCCGTCCATGATACTTTGCAGCCATGAAAAAACTCTCGCGGTCAATTTTATATATTTTTTTATTTTTACGAAACGATACATTGATTTCCCAATATCAGGCGCTCATGCATATGAAGTAGCAAGTTTTCTATACGCATAAATTGGTTTGTTGAACTTTTTAATTCGAAAAGAAGCCTTTGAAATGCCTAAGTAGAATTTTGGAAATTTAAAAATTTATACAAACAATTTTGTGCGTAGCCAGGGTACGAAAATAAACTGTACAAAACAATTCCCATTTGCTCATCGATCATCATATCACTTGTGGTTTTGTACAGTTTTGTAAATAGTCAGAAACAAATTGTAAGATTCACTGTCATTTTCCCCAACGAGAAACGTTTGCTTTTCGTTAGTGACAATTGTACCATAGGGTACGTTTTATATGTATGCGAACGTTTCAATTACGTGAAAAATAATTTTTTCTGTAAATTTTCATATCCAATTCAATTAAAAAACATTTTTATTTTTTTTTATTCATTGCAGCCATTCGTTTTGTATTTGTTTATTGCATATATGTACATACATAAAAATATTTTCCCTGCACGATTCATTTCGTTTGTTGTTTCGTCTGTAACTACTAAACTACTGTAGTGTACTATCGCCAAAGTGAACTCAGCCGTTTTGTTTCGTATTGTACCGAACTGTTAAAGTAATAAACGAAACGAAATAGTATCGTACAATATAGTTTATTTTCGTACACTGTGCGTAGCAGTAGAAAACTTGTTACTACACATTTATGAGCGCCAGGTATTGGGAAATGAAAATATCGTTTTGATAACGAAAAATCCGGATATTCGGATAGCCGAATATTTTCTCAGCTTCCAGAGTAACCGGATTTTTCATTTAGGTATCCGGATTTTGAATATTCGGTTTATCCGGATAGTTGAAAAATCCGGGTGAATTTCCCAGCCCTAGACGGAGCACAAAATTAATTATTTTTTCTTCTTAATTATAATTTCGAATAGCAAAAAACCATCTGTGCACTTCACAACGACATATTTTATAACGTACACACACAAATTTAAAACGAGTTGGGTTGGTGCTCTTTCATATGCGTATTTTTTTAAATTAGCACGTTTTTTTAATTCTAAAGTTTTTTTCCCTCAGTGTATGTATGTCCATGCTTAGGGCAGCTCTCTCTCCCCCCACAGGTTCTCAACAGGATGCTGGAGTAACCAGGTGAGTGATACACATACCTTCATATATATATGTCTACAAGGTATTACCTACTCACCAATAATTACATGCATAGTTGTTATCGCGCTTATTGTTCACTAATTTCGGCAAAACGAGAGCACCAAATAAAGAATAGGAAAACCGGTTTGCCTAGCTACTTAACTATTGTAAAATTCTTTTGGTTTAAGTTTTGCTTTTGAAAACGCGTCAGGTGGTCTAAAGAACTTCGCAAATCGAATAAAACACGTCTGGCTTCTTCTTAAGCTCGCAAGATTGTGCCGTTTTATTTCTAAGATGGAGTACTTTTCGATATCTTTTTACAAAACGATAACATTGCTTAAGGTCTAGACAGAATACAGTCTATCGCTTATGGGCTAGTTAAACTACTTTATCAATGTTTATCCTATTATTACACTTGCGAGCTACTTTCACAATGCCTACTTGCTTAAATCTACGTTTACATTACTTTTATCTGCACTTATATTGGTAGTAACTACGCTTACAACTCGACCATCATGACGACTAGAATCCCCTGATTCTACGCCGTGTGCTCCTAAATTATTATTATTTTGATTGGTCATACTTCTTGTCGTTTTACATTCGAACCACGGTTTTAAGTTTGTAATTGGCCAGGTACCCTTGTATAGTATTTGGGTTTGTTGGAAACCCTCTATGTCGTCTATCAAGTAACGATAATTTTCTGAGATTTTGGCCACTCTGTACGGTCCTTTAAATTTTGGTACTAACTTACTTGACACTCCTATTTGAGAGCTGGAGTTTGTTACCACGACGTAATCTCCTACCTTGAATTTACGTGGGGGCAACCGCTTATTACCCGCATATTCCTTATCGTAACTTTGCGCTTTCTGTTGTACTGTTTCGGCCTGCCTCCTGATATCTTGAACTGGTCTAGCGTCATGTACCTGTATTGAACCTAAAACATTTTCTTCGAGCGTGTCTATTATTTTCCCTTTTTGCGAAACCCCAAACAACATTATGCTGGGATGTTCGTTGATTGCTTTGTGATTTTTGTTCATTGCATATTCCACAGATTCTAACACGTTGTTCTAACAAGTAGTAGTTTTTGAGTCTACTGCCTTCGCTAACATTGGACCTAGGCTTTTATTGACGATTTCTACTTGTCCGTTTGCTTGGGGAGAATTTGTTGCCACCTTAATGTGTTGAACGTTATTTACTTTTAGGAACTCCTCGAACTCGTTGGACGTAAAACAGGTACCCCTCTCAGATGCAAGGTAACTAGGTCTGCTGTATGCTCGAAAGTAATCCTTCAGGGACTCTAAAGCTTGTTTAGACGCTGTTGTCTTTGCTGGATACAGCCTAACAAATTTTTTGCACGCGTCTATTATTACTAGTAGATGCTTATACTTTGTATTAGTACTATGGATTGGTCCATAGTGATCAATATGAACCATCTGGAAAGGTTTATTTCCCTTAGGGATCATGTTAAGAAATCCTTCCTTTTTCCCGTATTTCGCGGAGAACGCGATGCACTTTATGCAATTTTTAATGTTAGGGAACCAGTAACTTCTACTTATTATTTCTATCAGTTTGTCAACGCCTATGTGTCCCAGCTCGTCGTGATATTTGTATAGAACGTGTTCTTCCATTGAGTCTGGTACGTAAAAAAATAAGTTTCCGTCTGATATTCTTTATGTTTTCATCTCTGTTTTGGCATATAATCAAAGTTTCCTCAAGCGTATTTGTATGAACCGTTAAAACGTTATTCAACCTACTGAGTGCGTCTACGTGTTGCATCCTTTTCCCCGACCTATGTTCTAGGACATAATCGTAATTCTGTAGTTCGAATACCCACCTAGCGATTCTAGGATTATTATCCTTTTTGTTAAGCGTTAACGTCAAAGAGTTACAATCTGTTACAATTTTGAATTTCATGCCCTGTAAATATACTCTAAATCTTTTTAGCGCTTAGCGTTTCTCAGCCCGAACGGCATTCGTAGGAATTCAAACTGTCCTAAAGGAGTGGTAAACGCTGTATATTTTACTGATTCTTGTTCAACAAAGACATGAAAAAACCCATTCTTGAGATCTAATTTAGTAAACTATTTCTTGTTAACTAACCTGTCTAACAAGTCATCTATTAGTGGTATAGGGTAACTATCCTTTGCTGTAATTTTATTAAGCTTCATATAATCGATGCACATCCGTAGCTCGCCTGTTTTCTTTTTTACTAACACAATCGGCGAAACGAATTCCGAGCTACTAGGGCGTATGTATCACTTTTTCAAATATTCATCTAATATTTTTTGTAACTCTGACTTTTCACTATACATCAATCTTCTAGGAGCGCAACTGAATGGTTTATTGTTTTCTAAGTGCAGTTGTATTTCTTTCTTAACTTCGGGCTCTTCAGGTTTTTCGACATTTAAATATTCCTTGTAAAAGATCTTTTGAAAAAGTTGTTTGTTGTCGTGACTAACTTTACTACCAATCACCAAATCTATTTCGTTCACATCTTGCATATCTATTGCCAACATTTCGTTTGAAAACTTCACGCAAATTTAGCAGCTAAGACTGCCAAGCTTCAAAGTTTCCGGTGCCTTCGAAGTCAGTTAGTAACTGTTTCACGGTTCCGAAGGGCATTCCGGCAGTATTCGTAGCGCATGTATCTGTTTTTTTCTCTTTTTTGGGTGCTAATTTTAATTTCAAGACCTCAACTTCCTTTTCGAGCAACAGTATTTTGATCTCAGACTCATCGTTTTGGTTACTTGCCGAAACGCACACTGGGGCACTTTCACAACGTTGGAACTCGACATCTTTTTCGCATACCTGTCTGCCAAAACTACCACTGCCAATACGTAGCAAGTCATCACCATCGACATATTCCGCACCATTGTACTCGCCGTTGTCCGCAACATTTTCCGCTCCGCTGTTGTCGCCATTCGCACTGTAGTCCGCTGCGTTGTTTTTACCGCTATTCTGTGCCCCGTTCGAACCGTTGTCCTCGACGTTCATTCCGTTGTCATTGTTGCCACTTTCACTGCTGTCTTCGTCATTTTCACCGCTGGTTGTTGGTGTAATAAAGCTTCTCCCTGAAGCGCCGCTCCTACCGGGAGCACCCTCTGCTGGGCACGATCCATGAGCCTCCGCCGATAGCTCGCTAAGCCTTTCGGCGAGAGAGGCTTTCGCACCACTAGCATTTAGCCCTACGGCAGTGCACCAAGCTTTTAGCTGGAGCAGCGAATACTTTTCCGCACTAATGTTTTCCTTTTCCATTATTAATTTTTTACTTCAATTTGATTACTTATTTACTGGTATGGTTTCGCGGACCACTTCTGATGAAAACGCGTCAGGTGGTGTTTAATATAGCGTCGCTATATTAAAGGGAGATTTAAGTCGGAACGAAGACAAAAGAGTCGGATTGGTTTTAGATAAAATATTTAATGAATTCAAAATACAGAGGTACAAATGTACTAAATATTATAAGTAAATCGAGTTGATTATAAAAGTGGAGTAGACTCAAAGGCACGTCTGTGCTGTAAGACGGTCGCGCTTATATATTCTTGTAGCTTTTTACATTTCAATTTCAGTTCACAATTCAATAGTTAATTCAGCGAGTTTATACAAGATCAACTTTTTTTGGAGGATTTTTGTTTAGAGGAATCTTAGAAACTAGTCGAATAAAATGAGGTTGCCACCTCGCTCTCCTTCATCGTCGACATGCCGCTGCCCTTGCACGGGTGCAACATTTAGTAGGCTGTCTAGCTGCTGCAGCGATGTGAATGCCGTGGTGACCAGGCGATTCAACTCGATACGCGAAACGGCATTGGGTTTCCTTGATAACGAAACTTCGACATCTTCATTGCCGTAGAGCGACATTCTGTCTCGCGTTTCGATCTGCGTCCCACAGCATGTTGAGCTGGTTTGCGTTCCCCAGTGAAATTGGTAGTTGGGCGGTGAAGAAGCGTGTGATGACCCAATTTACATATTCTCCAGCTATTCTGAGATGGGTTCATGCAATATTTATAAAAGCGGACAGCTTCTATGCGATCGGCCACGCTCATCTCTCGAAAACATGCGCAGGTTTGCAGAGCGTGAAAACGGCAGCACAGTTGACACTGATATACATCCGGGGTTCTGTAAAAGATCAACAAGTGAATTAGTACGAGTTGGTAGAGTTGGAGCTAATTGACTGTAATTAGAAACTAAGAGGGTTATATGTATTTGAGCTGATTGGACTATATGGTAGGCGAGTTATTCAATTAGAGTTATGAGTGAGTGGAGGAGGTAGAGGGCATAATTTGACTATTGGTCGGGTATAAACCCCAGCTTGAGTTCTGACCTTAGCGACTCTAACGTGATTATAGGGGCCTCGATGGAGTTTGAGTACTCTTCCAAGGCACCATTTCGGGGTGGCAAGAGATCATCTTTGATAACTACCAACTCTCCTTCCGCAATATCCTTCTGGGGTTGTTGCCATTTATGACGTCTGTGAAGCTCGCGTAGATATTCCGCTTTCCATCGTCTACTGAATTCCTGATGGAGAATTTTTAATTTTTGCCAGCGATTGGCCAGGGATTGGGTTTCTGCAGTTTGCTCCGGGATAGACATTAGGGGTGCTCCTCGGAGAAAGAGAGCCGGAGTGAGCACTAGGAGATCCGTGGTATCTTCGGACATGGGTGATAATGGCCTTGAGTTCATAGCTGCCTCTATGCGTATAAGAAGCGTTGAGAATTCTTCGAAAATGAATTTTTGGGTACAGCAACTTTTATGAAGTGGGTTTTGAAACTTTTAACGGCAGATTCCCACAGGCCGCCCATATGTGCAGCGTATGGAGGAATAAACTGCCATTCAAACCCATGAGTTTCGTATTTTTTAGAGGTACGACAGACACCTGGGTAAGAAAACTTGCATAGTCTTTGAAGAATGTGCGATGAGCTCCGATAAAGGTTTTTCCATTATCGGACATAACTTTCGCGGGTATTCCTCGTTGCCCTACGAAGCGTGCAAATGCTGTTAAAATGACCTTGTGGTTAAGTCTGAACAGACTTCTAAGTGAATTGCTTTTGTCGCAATACAAACAAACACACAAGTGTAAGCTTTATGATAGGGTGCGTTACGGGTTAAACCGGCTTTTAACAAAAAAGGGCCTGCGAAATCTACACCGGTAGTGTGGAATGGTACCGACAACGTAACTCTTTCGGGAGGATGGGCTGCCATTATTTGAGAACGAACGTTTTGCTTATGAATAGTGCAGGGTTTGCATTGAGCTATACACTTATTTATGTACGATTTCAAACGTGGGACAAAGAAGTCTTGCTGAGTCATACGAACCATAAGAGATTTCTCCGCATGCAAGAGAGTTGTGTGGAGAAAATTTAAATAAAGAGTACAAAATCTGGAGTTTCCGGGCAGTATGATGGGATGACGCTCATTGTTTTGTCAATAAATGGGTTTAGAGATAATAACCTACTTTTCTTGTTGAGGGATTGAGTGACAGATAATTGTAAATATTCATCGGAATAGTAACGTTTTTGGGCAACAATAATTAGTTGGGTTTTCGAGTATTGGATTTCCGGGTGGGTTAAGGAATCCATGTTTTGGGAGATCTTTCGAGATTTTCGGATAAAGCGAAACACGTAGGCTACGATGCGCAAGGCTTTTTCAAACGAGGAAAATTGGCGTAGTACATCTTCGGTCTTGCTTAAATGAAAAACTTTAATTTTTCTTTGCTCTGGGGGGTTGAGTCCTTTGGGGTTGGGATTGGGGCCAAGCGTTTGGAGTTTCGATAAGCCAGCCTGGTCCATGCCACCATATGGCTTTGGAGATAAGCTCTTGAGGAGGGCATCCTCGGGTTCCTAGATCTGTAAGGTTGTCAGCACTGCTTACATGTCGCCCCGTAGCATTTTCTACGTTTTTTAAGATTTGGGTTATGCGATTCGCGACGTAGGGTTTCCACACATAAGGGGATTTCTCTAACCATGCGAGAACAATAGATGAATCGCACCATAGAAATAGTTTGACATCTTTTAGGTGGAGTTTTTCCTGAACTTGGTGAGCGAGTTTGCTGACGAGGACAGCTCCACAGAGTTCCAACCGTGGTAAGCTGATAGTTTGAACTGGGGCTACTTTGCTTTTTGCCACGAGAAGTTGAGAAGTGGCTGGGTTGATACCGTTGTGGCAGCGATGTTACAAACAGGCACAATATGCGTCTTGAGACACGTCACAAAATCCATGGAGCTCGACATTATATTTAGGTGAGTATCCTATCAATCGAGGGATTTCGAGTTTTCCTACCGATTGTAGATTTACGACAAACGTACGCCAAGCATGAAGCGAGGTGGGTTTTGCGCACTCGTCCCAATCGGTACCTTCTTCCCAAAGGTCTTGCAAGAGAATTTTTGCTTTAACCATTACAGGCGATAGCCATCCGGCCGGGTCATAAAGTTTAGCAAAAGCAGACGTTTTGTGGCTGGGTATGGAGTTGCGAGAGGGTTAAATGTGTACGAAAATGAGTCCGATACAGCGTTTCACTGTATTCCCGGGGTTTTTGTTGTGCTAAAGTCTTCGAGTTTTAAAAAATTTGAGTCTAAAAGATTGTTTTGGGGTATATTTTCTATTGTTTTTGAGTTGTTAGCCGTGATTTTTTTTAGAGGGAAGCCAGCTGAACCTAAAACTTGAGTGGGTTGGGTGAGTGAGTTTCGGGCTGTTTCAAGGTCATTTCCTCCAGAAAAAACATCATCACCATATGTTTCTTCGTTAAGGATTCTCGTACAACATGGGTATTCTAATGCAGGGTCACCAGCTAGCTGGTGAAGTGTTCTGATAGCTAAAAATGGGGCACAGTTTACGCCAAAGGTGACTGTTTTGAGTTTGTAATCTTTTATTGGGTTTTCCGGGCCCTTTCTAAAGACGATTCGTTGAGTTTGGAGAGTGCGACCGGTGTGGCTGAGCTGGTAGCTTTGGAGGCATTGAAGACTACCCGTACTTTAGCGGTTTTACTTTCGGCTCGCAAAACGGCATGATGTGGGAGATAAAATGAGTAATATTTTCCACCTTCAATGATTTCATGAGAAGTAGTTGTCTCCATGTGATTTAGGGTTATGTACTCTTCAAGCACTTCAGAATATGTGTCCCTGATGTTTTCTTTTTAGCGAGATTGCGCTCCATACTGAGAAATTGGTATAAACTTGAGTATCGGGAATGTCCTAGTGCCATGTATTCGGGAAATTGCGTTTTAAATGGTAGCCGAACTTCATAGCGGCCATCTGCTCTCCTAATTGTGGTGTTTCTAGTAATTTCTCGCATATTTCATCTTCTTCCGAGAGTTGAGGCGGGTCCGAGATGTCTTCCTGTTCCCAGAACTTCTTTAAAAGATCGCCGAGGCAGTCTTGTTTGCTTTCTTCGACTCGTGTTGAAAATGATGTGACTTGGGCTTGAACTGGGCCGCTCAAAATCCATCCAAAGCTGGTGTTTCGTGCTAACAATCCTCCACTCATATTTTGTAAGCCTGGTACAAATATTTTCGGTGTAAGATCACTACCAATCACCAGATCTATTTTGCCTGGAGTAAACCAGGTGGGATCGGCGAGATCTAAGGAAGCAAACTGGGTGATATCTATGCTCTTCAATCTGAATGCCGGAAGAAACTGAGTGAGCTGGGGCAAAACTGTAGCATTTGTCTCAATTGTGATTTGGGCGTCCGTTGAACATATCCTTATCAAACAAGTTTGATGTGAGTTTTGCACGATTTTCCCCCCATTTCAGATTTCTCATAGTGGGATCTTTGTGTGGGGAGTTTTAACAGATTTTTTGCTATTGAGGAGATGAAGGTTTTCTCTGAGCCAGGGTCAATTAGAGCTCGCAATCTATAAATTTCTCCTAAATGTAAAATGGGCACAATAGCAGTTGGGAGTAACGTTTTTTCCTTACTACTGGAGTGGTGAGCTTGAACGGATTCTTGCTCTTCCTGAGTATGCTCAACATTTTGCATTAGTAGTCATTGGGGATGCGGAGATAGATTTGTAGACCTAGCTGTTGTTGTGTGAACTGCCGACTTTTGGGATCTCGAGTTTGAGCTGCAGTTCGGATTCGAGTTGGAGCTTTGTGTTTGAGAGTTATTTATATGTAACATCGAGTAATGTCGTCTTTGGCAGTAAACACAACTGAAGCTACTTCTACATTCTCTTGAATTGTGAGGAAAAGCCTGACAGTTTTTACAGTAGTTGTTCTCTTTGATGAAGGACAATCGTTCTTGAACTGTTATTGTTCTGAATTTCGAACATGTTTTAAGTGGGTGCGCTGGGACCGCTTTACACAACTTGCAGGAATTAACAAATCTTTGCTCATTGTGGTATACGCGTGTTTTTGTAGAGTTTTGGTTTGAGTTGAGGGCTTGAGACTTGGTTGAGTTTAAACTTGGCTGGAAACTTTGAAAACTTGGCTTATAAGTGGAATTTTGATTTGGGTTTTGACTTATCTTCGATTTTGCTGGCCTATGAGCACTTAACCTCTCTAAGACTTCGTATCGAGTGGTGAGGAATGAGTTCATTTCAGACCAGAGTGGAAGATCTTTTCTCGATGATAGAGATTGCTCCCAAAGAGCTAAGGTTTCTTCTGGCAGTTTTGAGGTGCATATATGCACTATGATTGGGTCCCAACTCGATACGGAAACATTTTGAGCTTTTAATATGGAGGGGCAATTGTTGATGCTGTTTTGCAGTTTTTGTAGAGAGGCGCTGTTTTCACCATGAACTGGCTGAAGATTGAAGAGTGTCTTGAGTTGGTTGCCAGCCAAAATTCTACGGTTCTCGTATCGCAATCTTATGGCTTCCCATGCGAGATCGAAGCTTTCGTCACAGAGCGCGTATTGCCTTACTATTGTTCCTGCTTGGCCCTTTGCTTTGTGCCTTAAATGGTATAGTTTTTGTGCCGGGGTGAGTTTGGGGTGTTTTATGTACACAACTGTGAACATGTCTCTGAAGCCTGGCCACTCTTCATATCCACCAAAAAAGTCTTGGGTGTCACATGGCGGCACTTGAAGGTAAACGCCCGACGACTCTGCTTTATTTTCTGAGGGGATCGGGTTTGGCGGTTTTGAGCTGAGAGGTTGGGGTCTTAAAACTTCTAATGCGTCTGTCATCTCCGCTTTACAATTTTGGTAGCTTTGCATACATTTATCGTATTTCTGCTCTACCACTTCGCTTATATTTGTGTAGGAATCGGAGGTGCTCACAGATTGGTATGTTTCGTATACAATTTCCCAATTTTGATCGAGCTGGGACAATTTAACTTTGATAAGGGATTCAGTTTGATCCGAAAGTATGGAGGACGACCCTTTTGACCTAGAGCTATCTCGCTTTTTAGCCTCGGATGCCTGCTTTGGTACTGTATCGAGTTGATCCTTATTTTCAGGCATCTTTAAACGAGCTGACGTAGTTGAGTGCAGAGTTTCGAAAATTTGTTTTTTTTTTGTTTTTTTTTTTTTGTTTTTTGAGTTAACGGGTAGTTGGTAGTTTATAATACAAGAGAAAGGAGTAAGTGTTGGAACAAAGAGTTGTGAGAATTTTAGGTTTAATTTGGGTTTAAGGATGATTGAGAAGAGGAGTATATATAGAAATATGTATGTATATATATGTATACTATTTTATTTGTATTTTTATTTTAATCTTATTTTTTTTAATTTTTTTTCATTAATTATTATTATTACTGTTTTTTTTTTTGGAATGGACTATCTACCTTAATGTGCCTTGCTTATTAATTTACATGCATCTGTGTACTCAGGTATAAATGTGTATAGAAATGTACATATGTACATATGATTATGATGCAATAACCTTTGATTATACGATGACTTGGTATGTGCGAATGTGCCCGAAATATTTTGGAAAGCAATTTTAATCTTTCATTTAATACTATTTAAAAATTTTATTTCTGATTTATTATTATTAATTTTTTATATTTTATTTAATTTTATTTTTTTGTTTTTGTTTTATTTCATTTTTTTTTTTGGAGAAAAGTACTACCCTAATGTTTTGCTAAAATTTTTCTTAACCCTTTACGGCGCAAGTTCTTTATTTTTTGAAAAACCTGTTTCAAACGATTTATATACTATTTATAGAAAGGAAATGATAACAAAAATTTAATTTGATTTTTTTTTAATATTTTATTCAATAAAATGAGTATGATGCAAATATGCAACATTGCGCTTTGTTTCAGAAAATTCAATGAATATGAAATTGCTTGAAGCAATTTTTACTTTTGTTATAGCATTAGCCGACGCCACATTTTTCGCAAATTGTTTGCGTGTATCCTTGCAGTTTGGTATCTTGCACCTTACTCTTTTTTCTGCCCAAGCAGGCCAATGTCCTAGCTGATCTTGCCGAACATCTTTCGGCGGAATGTATTGACAAGGGCCTTTTTTCTTTTTTTCTTCTATCTGGCTTTGTAGGGTACTTTTCCTTTTTAGCGTTCCCCGTTTAGTTCCAAAATTGCATAAAGTTTCAGCAATGTCCACCCCGAAATTTTCCGATGTTTGCTCCGTCCCTTCTTCTCCATAAGTTTTTTTGTATGCGCCGATATAACAGCCAAGAGTTCGACATTGTCAAATCTAGCAAATGATAAAATATCCGAATATACAACCTCTTGGATCGTAATTTTATTTTGTTTTGACCCATTATACTGTCCGATAAGTCGACACCTCCCATATGACGGTTATATTCCTCAATCACAAAGGGTCTTTCAATTGTAACAAAGTTTTTCTGGGATTTATCATATCTACGCACCGAAGATACGGGAGCTTTTCCCGCGAAGTTGGATGCTAATGTGACCACTTTGTTGTCTCTCCATGAAATAACGGAGATGTCTGTTCCATTGATGTCACCCACCTGTTCGATAGATGTCCCGAGGGACTCTTTCTTGAAAATCTTATCCTCCGGTAACTTGCAATTGGGTATGCGATTTCTTCTAATGGTTCCCAAGCTCAGTATTCCTCGTTTTTCCAAGTATTCAATCAAAGGCAAAGACGTGTAGTAATTATCGAAGAAAATGCGGTAGTTCTCATTGGAAGGCACATGTCTTGAAAGTCGAACAACCACATTGGCAGAGGCACCTAGGTTGGATTCATCGTCAGCGACAATATTTTCTTGGCCACTGTATACCTCAAATTTGTGGGCAAAGCCACTCACACCAGACATGACGAACAACTTATAGCCCCACTTATGTGGTTTATCGGGAAGGTACTGCTTCAGGTGGCGACGTGCTTTTGTAGAACACATTTGCTCGTCAATTGATAACTGCGCCTCTAACGGAACTTTTCCAAAACTTGAGTTCAGCATGTCTAACAGTGAATAATCGGTCAAAATCAAGGTGATCCTTATTTAACATCTTGCTGTTTTCGTTCAGGTGTAACATTTGGCGCATTCGTTCAAATCTTTTTTGAGACATAGTCTCTTTTATAGAAGCGCAACCGATCTTATCTGACCAATACATACGCGCATTCGGCATTTCTACGATGGACATGTAGTAGAGAATACCAATAAATTGCCTCATTTCGATACCTGTAGCGTTTAAGGGCTTATTTAAATTTTTTTCTGTGCTGTATATGTTAGACTGGTCTCTAATGTAGTCCACTATTTCATCTGGGAACAGATATTGGAACACTTGGAAAGGTGTATCCAGTCTCAAAATGTCATCCGACAAGTTTGTACTGCCACGGAAATTAATTTGCTCGGAATTTAAATTAAGAGCTTTGGTCTTCCATTTCACATTCAGCTGCAAAAAATAGAACCTAAATTCGTAAAAAATTAAGTACTAATTTCTGTAGCTACTATTTACTTTCTCAAGTTTACATTTCTTGGTACCGCCAGGGATATCATTACCATTACCGCCAAATTCTTCTTCAACTGACAACGGAAGTTCACTTATTTCTGGCGGAATAACATCGTCCTCATCTGAAAAATCCATTCCATCCTCACTTTTGCAACCCAAATCCTCTAAAATTCGTTCTATTTCAACGTCTGTAAGGGACGCCATTTTCAATTGTTAATCGATGTGATAAGCGCGACGGTGCAGTTCTGCAACAAAACAAAATTTAACGCTACATACATCACACCACAAATTACGCACATAAACAGTTCGTTTTTCAGCCAAATAATGTCTTACCTTGCACAAATTATTATTGCTTATGGCCAATCTTGTCACTTTTTTAACTACTAAATTGCAAAACCGTATGTTTGCCAGGAGCTTTTCTCACAACAAAAATTCACCTTTCAATAAGAACTGAGAGCAAAAATCTGACTGGTTTTGATAAGTACTGTTAGAAATGAGCTGCTCGCTTTGTTACTGATATGAAACAATGCGCTTGGCGTCAATATTTAATTTGGTACTATTTTAGCGGGAGAATCTTGAGTATGTTGCAGATCTGCAACACGGCGCCGTTAAGGGTTAAAAGGAAATGAGTTATGTGGTAATCAGAGCGAGAGTGATGATGTGTGTGTATATTTGCATTAAGGGTAATCGGAATGAGTGGAACTAACTACCTCGAGTGTATGAGTCCTATCGTGAGCGTCTATTGTAGCAAGTGTTTTTTGGTTGTTTGGTTTTATGTAGGTACATACATATATACATTTATGATTTCGAAATCAGTTTTGGTTTGTATGGATGTTTAATACCTGTACATTCACATGTATATGCGAGATTTTTTTTTTAGTGTAATATAATTATAAATAATTATGTAACAAAATTTGGAACTTAAAAACCATGTCTGATTTAAATTGAAGCCGATTAAATATTGTTCATTTAAGCAATTGCGCTATTGTAATTACTAAGATCGCTTTATGTGTTTGCAGGGTATATAGCTTGAGTGTAATATAAAGATTGAGTGGGACATATGTACGTATATAAATATGTATGTATGAGTATATTTATACATGTACATGTATTCACGGGAGATTTAAGCTAATTTACATATAATGCACTTGTAATGTATGTATGTACATATGTATGTATTTATGTACTCCTTTGTTATAGCGAATTTTGTAGCGGCTGATTTGGTTTGCTTTTTCTGTATATTAATATAAAAAATAAGCACAGATATTTTTTTTTTAATGTGCAAATTTCCGCTAATTTTATGGCATATATGTAGGTTTATTACCAAATTTCGCGAAAATTCGCCAATACAGTTCTTTTTCTTTCGTTTACGGTGCTACATATATGCATATGTACATACATACATATGTATATGGAATTAACTGAATCCTATTTATATGCAAAAAGGGCGGGAAAATTTTTGCGAAAGGTTTCTACAAAGTTCGCTGTAACTTGGTAGAAAACTTGGAACGCTACTTACTGTGCCATTTTCTTTACAATTACAAAATATTTTATTTTCCACGTTAGTGTTTGGGCAGAGTCTTTTCCTTGGGAATGTGTTTGTTCTAAGCTGGCTGCAAAGTTCCTGAAGCTCCACTTCCACGTACTCCGGGGTTCACGTCTTCTCTCTTCTAGTCCGCTTTTTTTAGTTTTGAGTTTTCGATTCTTTGGTTTTAGAATATTTTAATAAACTTTGTTTTTACTTATTTTCACAGTTTTAGTCTGTAATATTTGTTCAACTTTTAACAATACTTTAGTTTTTGAGTTAAAGCGTTTTCCGTAAAGTGGCAGTTTTCAGTTTATCACATGAACATGTGTTTTTCACTTCGTTTTTTAGATTTTATAAATGCACAAGTGTATCTTTTAACAATTTAAAAGTCTTTCTTTCACACCATTTTTTGTTTTTTTTTTTTCGTTCGATTGTCTTGATTTTAGTACGTAATTTCACGAAAGAAGCGCATTTTTATTTAGTTTTTTGCGACCGGCTCGTTAGGTAAATCTGTTTTATGTGCTTATTGAGTACGATAACATCGCTTTGATTTTTATGCCGATTCTTTTTTATTACTTGACGGCGTAAGGACCATGTTTATTATAGCGTCGCTATATTAAAGGGAGATTTAAGTCGGAACGAAGACAAAAGAGTCGGATTGGTTTTAGATAAAATATTTCATGAATTCAAAATGCAGAGGTACAAGTGTACGAAATATTATAAGTAAATCGAGTTGATTATAGAAGTGTAGTTGACTCAAAGGCACGTCTGTGCTGTAAGACGGTCGCGCTTATATATTATTGCAGTTTTTTACATTTCAATTTCAGTTTACAATTCAATAGTTAATTCAGCGAGTTTATACAAGAACAACTTTTTTTGGAGGATTTTTGTTTAGAGGAATCTTAGAAACTAGTCGAATAAAATGAGGTTGCCAACTCGCTCTCCTTCATGGTCGACAGGTGGTCTAAAGAACTTCGCAAATCGAATAAAACACGTCTGGCTTCTTCCTAAGTTCGCAAGATTGTGTCGTTTTATTTCTTAGATGGAGTACGCTTCGATATCTTTGATATCTTTTTATTAAACGATAACATTGCTTAAGGTCTAGACAGAATACAATCTATCGCTTATGGGCTAGTTACACTACTTTATCAATGCTTATCCTGCGTTTACACTTGCGAGCTACTTTCACATAGCCTACTTGCTTAAATTTACGTTTACATTACTTTTACCTGCCCTTATATTGCTAGTAACTACGCTTACACTTTGAACTTTTTTAATTTTGTTTTCCTTTCTATTGAATTCGTCAAAACAATTCAAAATATCAACTCGAACAAGGGAATTGATGTTCTTTTTTTTGATGCTGGTACATAAGTATGTAGTTAGGAGTATGCATTACTTAGGTATGGAGGGTTTGTAGTTTAAGCCCCCAGGAATTCATTATTTAATTTTTAAAGCAGGTTTATAAATTATGTGTGGAGTTCTTGTAGTTTAAGCCCTTTAAATTCATTATTTAATTTTGGAGGCAGAGTTAATCTAGGAATCGAGATCAATTGTGAAATAAAATAATGAATTTTGGTTGAAAAAAAGAGGACTACAGAAATCATGAGGAGCTAATTTCATAAAAACTTGGTGTGGGTGTTGCGCTTGTGCGCAAGAGGGGGGTGGAAGTATGGACAGGGCGGCATGACTGGTTGACATGGCGAGACGGAGTGACTTACATACGGACGATAGTCAAGTACGGGGCGTTGTAAATACAAGCGGAGCCTGGACAGCGCCCATGGTTTCACGTGTGCAAGACGTTGAAGAGGGTGGGTAGACTCTGCCCTTCTTTTTCTTCCTATCACTTGTTGTTTTAACTACCTCCTTTATCTCACCTAATTCGGCATGACAACAGTTTTGTTGTTAGTGTAGCGTAGGCATGGCGAGTGGAACAAACCCAACCCGGCCGATGAGCTATGCCAGGCACCGCAAGCATGCCGACTTGCAACTCGACCATGCAACAGCACTACAGCTACGTAATAACACATAGACTTATTTCAGAGTCAATACCTTAAATATCTTGCAATTGTAATTGCAATCAATAATTTTCTTTATTCTATTCAGTGGTTGATTGAACAGTGGTAATTTGACTTTGATCCGTGGTGTTTCCGAATTACTTCACTTGACGATGTTTTCAAATAACTCGACCCAGCGCCACCTTGCGTTTTGCTTAAAATAGCATTGCCCCTACCGTTACCAATATATGTATGTATATCGAATATGTGCCAAATCGGATCATAAATACGATTTATGGTAATAACTCGCCTGCGCTGCCACCTGGTTGCAAACCTAAACTATTCAAGGACAAACTCAGACGATTAAAAAAATTTCGTTAAAATCGTTCCGGTTGTTTAGGAGGAGGAGATATGCGGTATGAAAAATTCGATTTCTATGGGAGATGCCACGCTTACTTGATATATATTGAAATTATTATCAGCCTCTAACCATCCTTGGAAAGTCTGCAGTAGGTGTATCTCTTCTTCTTCTTTATTGGCGCCGTAACAGCCTAGGCGATTTTGCCGAGTTCAAAACAGCACGCCAGTCATTTCTCTTCTGTGCCAACTGACGCCAATTGTAAATGCTAAGTGAAGCAAAGTCCTTCTCCGTTTGATTCTTCCAACGCAGAGGAGGTCTTCCTCTTCCTCTGTTACCAGCATCGTGGCCCGCGTTGAATACTTTCAGAGCATAAGCGTTTCTGTCCATTCGAACGGCATGGCCAAGCCAGCGGAGCCGCTGAATTTTAATTCGCTCATACAGCTCATCGTTAAATCGTCTGCGGTATTCGCCATCGCCAACTCGCAAAGGTACGTAAATCTTTTGCAGAATCTTTCTCTCATAAACTCCAAGAGCCACTTCATCAGATGTTTTTATTATCCATGCCTCCGCGACATACACCAGCACAGGCATTATGAGTGGCTTATATAGTGTATGTATAGTAGGTGTTCAAAATTGCAAAAATGGGTACAGCCGCTCGCGAGATCAGCTCTTATAAAAAGAAGGGACTTCTCTTTAATAATAAGTATAGATAAACTGCCAATACCCGCGCACTTGCCGGGGCCTTGAAACACCTTTCGAACCGTTAAAAATCATTCAATTCCTCTCTATGTACTATGTATATCTATAATACGAATATCGAATTTGAAGCAAATCGGACCATAAACAAGATATTTCCGAATACATCGGTCCCTGGTCTACCTATCAAAAAAAGAGACTCCTACTTATCCCACACGATCTTCAAATGTGGCACAACCCAAAGTTACACCTTACCTTAGGTTTTTTCAACAAATTAAAACGAAAATTTCTCCAGTTTTTGTTGAAAGGTAAATAAAAGTTCTGTTTACATTTTTAGTGCATGATTTCGAAAATGCTCCATTTTGAGTTGTGTCACTTTTGCAGATCGTGTGCGATATGTGCTATTCTAGGTGTTCAAGTGCCTTGTGCCCACTTGAAGGATGATCCCTGCGCATCCTTTAATCCCAAATGCATCCCTGCGCTTGCACCGAATAAAAGTGCTTGAATATTCCAGTGTTAGCTATAGACAGGCTGCAGTTGCTTCCAGTGTAACCTATAAAGGCACACTCCGCTTTGCCATCGACACCTACAGAAGACAGCAGGGATCGCTTTACCGAACCAGCAACTATAATACCCCATCATCAACAAAAAGTCCTCTACAACAGCGTTGGAGGTCGATAACTACCTACTTGTTTTCATCTAATATTATCTACGCGGGAGTTCAACCACAACGTGTAGTTTCACCTGCATTTGCATCAACTAAGTATCAACCATCCATCTATATGTGTTACTATTTCTACTATTATATACTCATTTCAATTTTACCAATCCCGTTGCGCGAATTTCCCCCGAACTCTGCAACCCAAATCAATTGCTAAATTCCTACTATATTTCCTAATTAAAAATCATTCACATCATCATACAGTCCACTTAAAATATTAATGTTAAATCGTAATTAGTTATGTCAATTTGGAAATGAATTACAAGTTGGGGTAAAACCTTAAAGCTTTTTAATTGAAAATCTCAATCGCAATATCGTAATATTTTAACATGGTCCTTGTGAGCCAAATTTGAAACAGTGGCAACGCAACCATTCCGACAATAGAAATTACGCTGCTCAACACTGAACGGCAGCTGTAATTTTCTCACATCTCTCTCATCTTCCCACAATTACCTTTCAACTTTACAGCGAATCGGCAGCAGCAAAAAACAGCGATCTAAATTTTCAATCGCTGCAACGCGGGAATTTAAAACACTATTTGTGCTAGTGAACTTTAAAATTGTGCTTAGCCTAAAAATCACGGCAAGTTTCATTTAAAACCAAGTGTTTGTTGCGCAGCTAAAAGTGTCTTGAAAAGGCCCAATTGCGAAAAGCCTTGCAATTTAGTTTCGGGAGGTGCTTGCGGCACCGAGTTCCATACACTTTGGTGATTGAAGCCCTACGCGGGATCCGTTTTTTCTCGCCTAGTTAACAGGCGCCCACCGTTGAACGGCTACAAAGCTAAAAGCGCCCACCTAGGGCCACATTTAAATATATACATATAAATATACCCGTCATAAAATTTTCCTACATATCAACGGAACACTTCGGTAAAATATTCACCGTTACCGAAAAACGTTCAAATATATATACGCAGTTATATATGTGCATACATAGTTCTACTCGCTACTTTGTATAAAATTTTCACTCGTTATTTTTCACTATAGCTTCCATACATACGTACATACGCATACATATATATGCACATGCGTATGTAAATATGCATGGATGCTCGTTTTCCATTCCTAGCTCTATTCCAACTTCAAAATATTTGCTATGCTGCCTGCGCCGGCGCCTGCAGCGATCATCGTTTCACTTTCGGTCCTGTGTTTTATGCATATGTACATAACTACATACATACATACATATATGTACATAAATTCATATCACCGAAAACCAACGCCAGTTGCGTCGGCGTTCTACCTAATACTTCATTTCTCCTGTTTGCATTTCTAATAAGAATTTCCATGCATATGTATGTACATATAAAGGTGCAACTCAGTAGACAAGTGTGCTAGCCCAGTAGGAAATCCTACAAGAACTCGCGACTTGTACTCAATAGGTACAGAATTATTCAGGCAAATAAATATCTCAGCTTGCGTCTGATATATTATAATT